AAACTATCTGCTGCAGTCCACGGAATCGGGATAAAAGAGTTGATAAAATGTCTCTATCGGAGATGTTCAGCGAGGTGTGATATTGGAAGGATTCAAAGATTGTAAAATTTGATGTAGAAAACTCTTCAAAACGTTCTCAAAGGTCGATACTTTTAAATTCAGTTGCTTGGATCATTCGTTTCATCTCTTGCATTAGAATTATATATTCGTCTAGAAACGAAAGTACCTCGAGCGTTGGAAACCTATTGGTAGAAGAAATCGACGGAGCCAGATGTAAGTTTTCAAGAATGGTGCAGAAGGAAACATTCGGTGAATTACCATAACACTCAAAACGTCAAGGAGCATGGAACGAAGACATGGTGCATTCTTTGAGGAATATTTCTCCATAGGTGGCTTGCTTTGTGTTGGTGAGAGATTTAGTCACGCAAAGTACTCATCCCATTTCGGTCTTTTTTAATAATCGACCGGCGATCGAAAATCCTTCAAGAAGACAACGTCACTTCAGATAGCCTCTTAATCAGGCTCCCCAATCTTGCTTTCGCTCCCGAAATNTCACAGCATGCCTGCACACTCCCAGCCTACCGTTCGGGCGCTAGTCGGCTCCCTTGATGTGGGTGTGTAGTGTGATTGACCGTTGTAATAGCCACATTGCTCGGGGGTCCAGAATAAACGGACTATGGACTGATACCAGCAAGCGGATCGGGATTGACACACCGCACTCACGTTGAATGCGAGACACTGTTTCACCAAGCAGTTGCAATTGATGACCGGTAACCCCATGAATACGCACTGAAGTCGGGGCTAGAATAGAACAGAGAATGCTGAAGTCGGTAGGATAGATTCGCTGTTTCATGTGTCCAGAATGAATAGATGCTCCACACCAAACTCGAACCTCAGTGGGGCTAACACGAAATGGCTGTTGGGTTCAGTGATTTGCAGCGTGTAGCTGGGGCTTAAATTCTCATCTACCGTTGGAATATGGGAATCGAAGAGGTTGCACTTAGGTATTCATTACACCTTGCAGATATGGCCCATTTTGCCCATCCATGGCGAGTGGCATTGCGGAATCGACAAGTCGAACGAAAATGGTATTCATCATATGAAAAGCAGCGTTTGGTCGCAGTCTTCGGTTGTTTTACGCTTGAACTGGGTATTTGAGGAACCGGGAGTGTATTATGGACACTGTGTGCATCACGTAAAGTGTTTTCGTTGATTGAGGATGGAATAAAACAGAAGTACCCGCATTTGCGGCAGCACACAAATCATCACTTTGCTCACAGATTTTTCGGGCCTCAGCAAGCATGACGTTTCTTTTCTAACGTCTTACTTTGTAATGAGATGTTGTTAATTCCAGCAATGTCATACTGCACTACACTATTCTGTTTTTCAGAAATTTTGCGTATTGAAGTATTGTAAGCCAAAGAAACTGACCGAAAACACACAAATCTGTACGCTCGATTGAAAAGAGCGACAAATCGTCCTGAGAGAACGGAAGTGAAATGAAAAAATCTTTCTGACAGAATTAAAGCTACCTTCACGGAAGACTTGTCCATATAGTATTTCACATAATATTTCTTTTGCATGGTGCATGAAGAAGAGATAAAACTGGTAAACAAGACGCTCAATGCATTGAACCCACCAAGGACCAAAAACAAAAAAAGATCTAGTTGCGCAGTGTAATTTTAATTTCAACTCACTTTAGTTTAGTTCCCACAGGACGAATCTTGGCTCACGCACGTCTCGTGTCCAGTTTCTCGACCTGATATATCTCTTTTCTTTTTTAATTTTACTTCCTCGTTATTCAATACACAATAACACAATTTTTAGGAAGGGAGATACGGCCAATCAAAGGGCTGCCGTTGGAGAATTCAGGTGGTTGTGGTGGGGTTTGACGACATTTCTCCCGTGCTGGTGACGTTACCATCGAGCCACCAGCACCCGAGAACGAATTAGGCGATGGAGGTGAAGTTTGAAGGAAGAAGAAAAACGCTACAAGCTCAGAATAATGTGAAGTCAATTTTTGTTTTTGATTTGAAAATTTCGTACGTATTTTCCTTTGTTTAAATATACCACTGATGAACGTTGGTGTCCGATTGTTCACAACCACAAAAAGGACGCATCCGTCTATCGTAATAATTTGTTTCGTCTTTTTTCTTTGTTATCTTTTGATTTTTACTTCCTTATATTGAATACAAAAAAATACAATTTCCAAGAAGGTGGACGACCCAAATATAAGGGGTGTCACTGAACTTTAAATGGACCAAGTCAGGCACTGCTGGTTGGATTTGAGCACATCGTCGATGTGTGATCATTTGGTTGTTACCACCGGGCCACCAACGTTGTTAAGTTTGTGGACCATTCAAAACTTATGAGTGCCGCTTCCGGGCTTATATTTAGCTGAGTTCAACTGAGCTGGACTAGTTCATTTTTGTGCAGCAAAGGAAATAGCCACAACATTTCTTCTGTCAGATAGGTATACCCCAAAGTTGTTTCCGTTTATCTTCATTTTTCCATGTTATCTTTGAGAATAGAATCACAAGTATTCCTCGTTAATAGTTTCCCCTTATATTCTTAGTTAAAAGAGTCACGTAATTGTTTGTATCGTAAAGAAAATTGGTTTCAATGTTTGGTAATCCGTCTACTGAAACAGGTGAAAAACGTTTCACTGAAAAGTTAGTTATCCGCAAGTAGTATTCTGCGTAACGTAGTCGACCAACAAGGATCCAGGGCCAACTTGGACGTATGAAGATCGGTTCGGTCGAGTCCTTTGGCGACTAACCTCTTCTACACTGGCTGATCTTGGTGTCGATGTGGTCATGCCCAAAAGCCTGGTATGGTCGGGAGTGGGTGTCCCGGTTTGCAGCTGTTCACCTCTACCTGAGACCTAGCTACAGCAATCTATATGACCGAATATCCTGTCTGGGATATTCATATCGACCTNTTCCTTCGTTACACAGTATTTTACAGCAAAAGGGGTATACGCAATAGGGGGAGGGTGTGTAAGGGACCATTCCAGTCAAAGCATCTATTAATACTGATTTTGAAGAGTGAGATTTTGTGTGTTTGGAAATACGAAGATGAGAGGAGTGTTCCACAATTTCCCAGTCCTGGGAATAAACTGAGGCTAGAAGATAAAAGTTCGACATCAGGGTACAGAAACCGAATAAGGTTGACCGCCCACCTGGAAACTAGATGAATGAGAAAAGGTCTAGAGGAGGGTAACCACTGAAGCGAGTTCAGAAGAGCAGAAACCAAATTAATAACGATAGAAAAGAGATGACGATGCAAATGCCCGTTGACGGGAAACCTACTGCTGGTTAGAAGTTGAAAGCGATTCTTCAGTCAACAGATGACATTACGTCGAACACGGTCGACGATTTAAAGAGCGGAATACGAAGCTGCAACCCATCCTTATCTGCAGTATCCAAGCCTCGAGCGGATTCCAGCTTTGTATAGGAGTTTCTAGGATGTAAAAAAGCGCTTGCCACGGAATAGAAAACATACTTTCCCCCCAATGACGACCGGGAAATAAAAGAGGAACAACAGAGAGAAGAGTTGATGGGTAAACCCAAGTTTTTTTTAGTTAGATCGTACAAACATTAACCATACACTTTCGTGCGTTAGTTTTGGTTGCTGTCTTTTGGCTCCTCGTTGGAATGAAGGAGTAGAGTCGAAGAGAAAGTGAAGAATTTTGGTAGACTAAAGTTGCAGAGAAATTGAGATGCACAAGAGCCGTTGTTTTCGGCACTCAACTATATCGCTCAAACACTACTTATTGATTTCCGTGATCATAAGGCCCCCATCCAGGGGGGTTAACGCGACCTATATGACCGTGTTTCTAGGTAAAAGGTTTCATACTCTCATGCCAGGTCGTATTTTGATCACCCTTGATTTTTTCCACCAACCACTTGCCTTGCAAACATCGCGCCATGGCCACCTGTTTGATGACATGCGTAATACATGAACCAACCAACTTAACCTGGGAGATCGACCACTCGCTCCAGTGAGCGACCGCGGTTACCGAAAACTCCGCGCCGAACGTCAGAATCGCTCGTTCGGTTGTCCCAGCAGATTTGTTCAACACTATGTAGACAGCAAGGTTCAAACATCGACAGCCTATCTTTATCCTGTTTTCGTATTGTTCAGGTTTTTGCACTATATAGCAGAACTGGCCGCACGATTGTAGCATTTACTCGACCCTCACGGACAGTTGGATATCGCGACGGCGCCAGAGATGTACTTAGTTGACAAATTCCATTCGAACATTTTTTTTATGCGGACTGACACTCCGAGGCATGAAGAAATGCACAGAGCGATTAGGTAGAGTAGGTGTCTCGTCTTCCGGACTGAGGTCCAAAAGACTCCGAAACCGCATGGTTGGATACACTGGAGGTCATGGCTGAGAACCGACACCTATCAGATCAGAATGCTTGAAATAGTATGTACGCAAAGTTAGACTGTGTACTCTGTGTTGGCCACAGAAGTTCGCTCTATTTTCCTGTCCCTGAAAGTAAGTCCCATCCCTATTCTCCTTACATATTCTCGTTTACCTTGTATGCAATATGAGTTTGGCAGCGGTCAGTGAAGTTCACTCCACTGTATTACGCTGTACAATGATGATGATGATGATGGAAATAATGATGGACTGACACTTCATCTGCACTTCGTCCATCGGGTGAGATAAAGCTGTCCAGTTTGCAAAATTTGTCCACTTTCTTAGTTAACATGATAATTAAAGCCACCACTGAACAGCAGGTCCTCGTTACTATGGGGTTCGCCCCGTCTGCTNGCTGTTCATCACATGAAAGTGTAATAAAAAAGTACCAATGCAGTCCTCTAGCAACATTTTGCACCTTGCAGGTGCAACACAAGCACTCAGTTATTCAGAAAACCTTGCAACTTACCTACCAACATTGGTCGTTAACACCACGCTGCGGAGCGCTTCGCTCATGCCCTAGCTTCGACTCACATCGGGCACGAACGCCTGGGTTAAACGATCAATGGTAGGAAACCGAGCTTGCGAAGTGCACCAAAACTGGTGTGTGGTCTGACTCAACACAGGTAGTCCAGCAGAACCCGAGCTACTCCAACGGTGGCTTACTGCTTTATTCCATTTGAGTGGGTTTCCCCGTTAATTGAAGCACCACGTTGTCAGAGGATTATGCACCTACAGCGACAAGCTGTTGTGGTTTCCCAAGGTTAAAAACAGATCCACTCTCGTTTACGTTACACACTGTCACTTACTGTGTAACTATTGAAAGCGTGGCAGCAGTAAGCAAATTTCGCTTCTATGTATTTCGTTGTGGGATGATGATAATACCGTACAACAGCACTGTATTATTCTCTGCTTTTGACATGATGAGAGCGGTCCATCAAAATAAAGTTTGGCTCATGCTGTTCCACCTCACGAATACGTTGGTGTCATTTTCGTAAGTAAACCAATGTTTTAATTTAGCTGCCTCATTCAATCTGATCTAAGGCGGTTTAGCAATCGAAAATGCCAACCCATACTTATAAATTGTTTATCCAATCACTTATTTTGTGATTTATCACTCCACTGTCTTAATGTATCAATTCTCATAACTGTGAGACTTCTACTTCCTTACTTGATCATGAAACAATCCAGCTAATTGTGTCAACAGAATCCTTGTTTTTTCGTCACTTCAGGCGCTCAAACCCTATCTGACCGCTGTGAAAAACACGCTGCATGCAGCGCTTTGTATACAGAATTTCCCATCCCAAGCGGTCGAAAAGCACAACAAACCAGAAGTCGAGGTGAAGACGAGCAAAGAATTGCTGCTTCATCCGGTCATTATAAGTCGCAATGAGAAAGAACGCGTGCTTATTGAGGGCTCAGTCAATTCTGTGCGAATCAGTATAGCTATTAAACAATCGGACGAAATTGAGAAGCTGCTTTGCGGAAAGTTTACTCGATTCATGATGATGCGCGCGGAGGATTTTGTAATTCTACGCAGAAAACCGGTGCCTGTAAGTTTTTTCTCTGTTCCGTGCACGTTAGATTTTTGTTGGAGTGTACTCCATTTTCCTGAATATATGTAATTTTCATCTCTTGAGGCAATACTAATACAATATTAATACGATAGTTGGCTATATTGGGTCTCAATAGTTTTTCATTCTTTTCGAGCTATCCATAACTCAAAGCTTCAGGAAATGACCCAATTTCGAAGTCTCGGTCGCACCTGTATATAT